TAAATACAGAGATATAACCTTATAACAGTATAACTTTTTATAATATATAATTAACGTGGTTGATAAGCATGCTGACCAGACAAGTATGCTGACCACTACCCTATACACCTTAAACTCCAATTTTTAAAAGCTTATAAAAAGCTTAACTTAAGCCTAAAATAGCTATAGTTTTTACAACGTATATATAAATCTTAAATTAAGTTATATTAATTTTTTTAGATATTTAAAAAAATCCTACATAGCTATAAACTTTAAAACCTAGTTACACTGTAAAATACACTGTATTATAAGGTTTTCCATGTAAAATAAAGTAGTTAAAAATTCTTAAAAAATATAATATACTAGTATTAGCTATACTATTATAAGAAATATTTTTATTAGATTTTTAGCTATTTTATTTATAGCTTAAAAGTACTATAGGGTAGGTTATTTTTAGTTACACAGTATAGTGGTTAGTATATTTGTCCGGTCAGCATGCTTATCAACCACGTTAATTAGTTTTATATAGACCTATAAATTGTTGAACAGGTGCTGGGGCCTCACGTGCAAGCAGGGATACTTTGAGATTACAGCCGAAATGGTAAAACCTCTAAGGGGCAGATTTCAACAGAACACAAGAGGAATACACCAATTGTCACGGGCTGGGCTCGGTATACAGGTGAACGGGGAACGCTCCAGGCGGAATATGATCTATTGCTACGGATAGGCACTGCAGGCAGGTCAGGCTCTATTGACAAGACGTAGCTCGAGGAGCTACGTTCAGGAACTATCTGGTCGGTGAACAAAGTCTCTGCGATAACGTATCGCCACGTGATCCGGATCTACCTTGTTAGTGGTCTAGGGTAGGCCAGTCTGGTCTCGAGCTGTGACACCAATTCACATCAATGAACCGAATACACGTAATGTCTGACATAAATACTTTCTAATAAACCTATTAAAGTCCATAAAAGTTGTGCTGCTATAAGGTCATGCCTCAGTATTAAAACTATCATGCCGCTCTATCAATTCTCATTTTTAAATCCTGGAACATCCATGTCCAGTTGATATCCATGCTTGAGAATTGGCTAGAGCCAGAGCCAATGATAGCTTGCCGGTCTCATGCTTATCCCGCCCGGCCCTAGTCCACCCGCCAAGGCTTACGTGGCCCCTACGCTGGGCACCCTGACCCAGTCGACGGAAATTTTGAATTATTTACCGCCAGATAGGGAGATAGTTAAATCTTACGCAAGGTCACTATTATTAAGTATAACCTTAACTTAATTAGAACTTAGTGACAGAACATTAACGTCCCTTGTGAGGAGGATTCTGGATTATGAACTTATCAGCAATGTTAATATTGAGGAACGAACATGTAACAGTCTCCGTAAATGATAACATCCAAGTTATAGGTGTCCAGCCACAGACTTGCCCCTGTCAGTGGGATGATTTGATTGGAGAAGTCTAATCGAGTCCTCAAATAGGATACTACCGCATCAACTGAGTAAATTCGTTAGAGCCTGTGGATCCCATTAGCGTCAGCCTAGCCCAAATAGGAAGGTCATTACATGCGGCTCTTCCCCGCACATATCAGACGATCAGGCCGAAAATACTCAGACCTGGCATCTAATTAATCGCACACCACAATTTACATCGCAATTGAAGCTATCACCACATTTATTATATATAAAAATGTCCCCTGGAGCGAGATCTATCACTCCCCAAAGTTCTGGGGCCGGCCGACCGCCTAAACCCAAGAAACGTGGGCAGAAGGCAAAGCCAATCCAGGATCGGGTATATAAGGTTGCAAAGCCGGTTTTTCGGAAGGAAGAGAGGCATTCGAAGGAAAGGCGGCTCGAGGTAGTGGTGTTCCTATATCATCATCGGGTTTTCGATCCTGACCACCCAAAATCGATCAATGGATATAGAAGACCGTTACAAAGCGAGGCTGCTGCTTACTTTCAAGTTAAGCAGACCACGATAAGCTCTTGGTGGAGAGAAGATATGCAGAACATAGAGAAAGAAAAACGAAGCTATTCGGTCCGGTGGCCTGATCTCGAGAAGCAATTGTTTGAAGAGTTTATCCAGCTGCGATTTCAACAGCGCGCTGTATCAACAGCATGGTTCCGAAAACGGGCAAAAGACATATTCAGATCATCAGTATCGTCAGAGGAACAAGCTGTATTATTTACATTTTCTAATGGCTGGTGGGCAGGCTTCAGGAAGCGATACAATATCGTCAAGCGTAGGGTTACAAAACGGGCTACTCAACAACCTGAAGCTTATCGCGAGATTTGTGGATCTTTCTGTAAGTTCATTAAGCGCGTACAACACGATCAACAATTATCGCCATTAAAACAGCAGTTATCGCCCAAAATGGATATTGAAAACATCCTTAATACGCCCCGAAGACGCTTTAAACAACGGTATACTTTAAATGTTGATGAGACGCCTATAACGTTCGAAATTGACTCCGGAGATACCTGGGCTTTACAGGGCTCCAAAACTATCTCGGTGAAGACTATCAGAAGTGGGTGGGAAAAGCGGCAGGCAACAGCGATTTTATATATCTTCGGTGACGGCGTTTGCCGGCTTGAACCTACGATCATATTTAAAGGTTCCCCAGGCGACAATTCCAGGATATTTCAAGATGAGGGTAATCAGTACGCTCCAGGGATCAAGGTGATATACAATGATCATGCATATAATAACGAAGACCTGATGGAAAACTGGTTAAAAGATGATATCCCGACCGTCAAATCAGCAACTGAGGACTTCCTTTTGGTGATGGATGCCGCCACTTTCCATCTTACGGATCGGGTCAAGGAGGAAGTCAGGAGACAGCTTGTGACTCCAGCTCTTATCCCGGCCGGCTGTACGAGCCTATTACAGCCGTTAGATACGACAATAAACAGGGTATTTAAACAATTCTATCGTGAGGAAATGGATATATACGAGCTAGAAGAAGAACGGAAAGGAAAAACTCAGTGGACCGTCAGCGAAAGAAGGATCATGACAACGTGGATTGTCTACAGAGCTTGGGAGAGGATAAAAAAAGAACAAGACATGATCAGAGACTCGTTCCTTCGATCAGGAATAACTACAAGACCAGACGGAAGTCAAGATCATCTTATTTCCATCAAAGGAATTGAAAATATCGACTTTTCAGGCTGGGAGAATGCTGGAGATATATCTATTAAGTCGGAAGAGCTTGTGGACCGGCTGTGTGACGAAGAGGAGCTTTCCTTCGGTCCTGACGAGGAATACGACCAAGATACCCTCATATTGGCACTGAGACGACTGAAAGTCGCCCAATTACGGCAATTGACATCTTCAAACGGGCTGTCAACGAAGGGGAAGAAGTCTGACCATATTGAACTGCTCAGAAGTCATTTAACTACTGTAGAAACAACTGAGGACTCAATTACAGTCCAAATTGACAGTCCTAGAGTTATATTTAGGGCAGAAGATAGTCATACTTGGTCCTGACCGTCAAATTGATCGTCAACCCAGAAAAAAGCCTCCCCTTCCTGCCACTCGCGATAACGGCCGAGTCTTTGGTCGAATTTCTTCCACCTTTTCCCTCTACGTTCAGGCTTACAAAAACACCATTTTCCCTTCTTTGGGACATCATCAACTAATTGACGACTTCTTATTCTAACCCAGCCGTAGTGAGTATCATTTTTCGTCAGGGAAATCCCTTCTTCTTGACCAGGCGAAGAGGGGAGTCGATAAACGAGGCGGTAGGTCTGTCCGATCGCGAAGCATTCGTCGTCATCGAAATCTTCGGTTACATCTGTATATTGCGTCAAAGTCGTAAAAAAATGTCGTTCTTTCGCACACACATACAGACGATATCAATAAATGCATTCCCTAAATTAGAAGTCATAGCGACCGTAAGAAGTCGAGATATCAGCGAGGTACCAAGGAAATCCAATGGAGGGGAAGGACAGTGGAGGTTGGGTTCGCAAATTGGTGGTAACCACATATAGTTAGAAACTGCGGGCCCATGCATTAGCTTGACCCCACAGGCTCTAACGAATTTACTCAGTTGATGCGGTACTCGACATACACACTTGGTCAGGCAGGAGCCAAGGCAGCTATTAGCGCTGCAGCCCGGCCGTAAGTTTCCGGCATGGCAAACAGACACCTCCACCATATTTCATGACGGGCTCTATACGGCTGAGATTGTATAAATGACGTTCGACAGTTCCAATGTATTTAGCGCTTTGACAAGCAACGATCAGAGTGTGGTCATAATTATATGAATGCTGTCATTCATGCCAAGCCTGGGGTCGATCTCTTGGCGATGATCTTCAGTATGGAATAACATGAAAGGGGGGTGGGGCCCCAGAATCGAGGCAGCGTCTCACTCTTTAAAACCTGGTAAGGTTTCTCCAATCAGATGGTGCGACTGACGTGCGCAAGCGTCGTCACTGGCGGATGCAGTCGCCGCTCAGAATGTCAACCTGTCTCGCAAGGAATATCCCGATGGCGGGCTTACTCTTTAACTTCCTTAGGTGCACAATTGCAAGAGTTGTTGTTAAATAAGCCTCTAAAAAAATATAACTTACAATTAATATTATTGCTAAATTCGCAGGACCTTGAATTATAAGAAAGACAGTTATGAAGTTTAGAGATAAAAATGGTATATTTCTTTCGCTAAGATCCTTATTATAAGTTCCAACATAGCTTTCGACTTAGCACAAAAACATAACACGCGGCCGCGTCAGATTAGCAATGCATCGCGGTGATGACGGAGTAAGTCTTCTTACACTTGGTGCTAGACGAGTCATGAACTGCAACCTTCTCCCTTTCACAAGTGGCTGACAGCATTACGTGTACCCATGAACCTATTAGCTCTATGACTAGACTGTATTCGTATCTGTGCACGTGCAATTTTTTCTAACAGGAAGACTTTTAATTACAGAGCATCGGGTTTGAAGACTGCGATGCCTACAACGTTGCCTAGCTTGACGTTCTTTTTGGCTTCTGAGCGTCACGTTATGCCCTCGTATCATAAGATGACGGACATTATGCCAACTTCAAATATACACTTCTCGGTCAAGCTTTCCATCTCTTACGCCTTCGACTGGGTGGTCCTTATCATCGCCTTGGTGGTCTCGGTGGTTGTGGGCAACCTCACGCCTAACAAGCGAGCCTTCTCCTTGGTTAACCCCTACATCTCGCACGTCGCTCATCGATGTCCATTGCAAATCGGGTTCGCTAACTTCCATGGGCAACCAGATACCCGTTCAAAGGGGATACGATTTCTATCGCTTCGGCCGCAATCCTCTCTCTCATCGTCCCGGCCGTTATCATCGCTGGCGTGGTCCTCGTGTTTGTGCCTGGAGGCACGGTACCTAAGAACACACCTCGAACTTTGATATGGAGGCGAAAGATATGGGAGCTTCACGTGGGCCTGTTGGGGCTTGCACTGTCTTTCGTTTCCACATTTTTCTTCGTGCAATGTATGAAGAACCTGCTGGGCAAGCCTCGACCTAATATGCTGTCAAGATGTGAGCCGGATGTCGCCAACGCTATGAAGTACCTTGTGGCAGGATATGCCAATAGTCTAGCTGATGGACGACTATACTCAGCCGACATTTGCCAACAGAGGGACTCGGCAAAGCTCAACGAGGGATTCCGAGCCTTTCCTAGCGGGCACTCTTCGATAAGTGCTGCAGGACTTGTTTACCTGACCTTATTCCTCGCTAGCAAGTTGGCTGTTAATATCCCGTTCGTCCCGCCTAGCATGAAATGGAGGCACGAGGCATTTCCGTCGCGATCCGGGGAGTATGAACCGTCAAGATCTTCTTCTCCCATGACGGATAACGGACGCGACCCGCAAATCCAGTCACAGCGCCGCCAGGCTGCCGGCGCCCCTCTGTATCTCTTGGTCCTGGTTATCGTACCTTTTGCTCTAGCCGTCTACATTAACTGCTCGAGATGGTTCGACTACGAGCACGACGGCTTCGACATCATTTTCGCTTTTCTGATGGGCACTGTTGCAGCCTATTACAGCTTCAGATTCTATCATCTGCCCATTGCAGGAGGAGCCGGCTGGGCCTGGAGGCCGAGAACTCACGACAGGGCATTCTGGGCTGGCGTTGGTAAGCTAGGCTATGTAGGGAATACTGGTGAGAATCACCATGCCGCCGCAGCCGCCACAGATAGGACGCGTAGCCATGGGAGTTCCCGAGATCAGTCAAATAGACTCGAATATCAAGGAGATGATCTCGAGCTGCAGGGGGTGGGTTGGAGAGTATAGGTGACAAGTTGTTTGAGCTATGCTGCTGGAGAGTTCTCAATATTGGCCTCGAGAGGAAGAATAACAGCTTCATAAGACAGTCCCGCAAGGGAAGCTACCAAGGGAGCTATTCGCAACATTGGTCGACGAAAGGCGCCTTGATTATTGACGGTGATAATCAATAGTGAGCTGCATATCCCCCTTTATACTGTCCAGATTCTAGACGAAGCTTCTTTATCTTGTTGATAGTTCATGGTATGAGGAAAACAATGGAGCATAGCGACACTACCTTGTTGTGGGGTGTGAGGGTAATATCATTCCGTCTTTCCTCGATGGAGACTCAGCAGGTCTTGGGGGATGTTCGGTGAATGCATGGTGCGAAGCTACTATGCAGTAGCATAACTGCAACGGCGATATTCAACATCAATTCGACCATTTTAGTTGATATCTTCCCGGAAAACTCAGCTGGTGCTACTGCGACTAATAACTTGTGCCGTTGCCTGCTTGGTGCTGCGGGTGTAAGTGCAATTCAGCCTCTGATCAATGCAATCAAAATTCGAAACGCATTTCTCGTTCTCACAGCAACCGCAGTCCTTTTCTCACCGCTGGTCTGGGTTCAATTGCGGATGGTGGGGAAGTGAGGGAGAAAAAGGCTACAGACTCGATTAAAGAATGCTACGGGGTCCGAGCTACCAGGCATGGTCTATTGCTGCCCAAATACATTGTGTTTTACTCAGGACCATCGAAAATAGTGTGTTAGATCATAAAAGATTTAGAAGCCGTAGACAATATAAGGAGACTGTATTAAGATAAATTTTATTTGCGTTTATACTGATGTTATTCTGAGTAGTATGTTAAGCATTGAGGTAATAAGGATGTCATTATTTTTATATACGTTCTAAGAAATTCTTAGGTTTAAGGATATATTCATAAGTAGTAACTACCTTCATGCTTCTACTTGTCTAACAGAAACTCATCGAACTGCTAGTCGTCTCATATACCAGATGAACCCAAGCGTGTAGAAAAATAAATAAGATATAGTTACATATATCCACACAGTCTCTCTCATACAGTCTGACTCCCAATGCTTCATCGCCGCACTAGCGATATGATTTACATTCAACAAATCAATACCCTCCTACACAAGTATTTTCCACACGTAGTCTCTGTAGGCTATCAGCCAGCTAGGTAATCCCCATAGTCTTGACTTGAGCTTTCGAGGTTTTGCAATTTAAAGCTAGTTTCGCAGAGTTTCCATCTGCTGCCCGCTGAAGCCCGTTCGAGCACTTCCAATGGCCTTACTGAAAGGGGCCGAGGCAGTACCGTATAGAACTCGTTTTCAAATTCATCAGGGCAGTAAAACTCGCCACTTTGACTGAATCCAGTTTCGGTAAGCAAATGCAAAGGAGCGTGAAGAAAGGCATCATGGCGCTGCTGCCATTCTTTAAGGTCTGGACCTATATTGATGTCGCGCCGCTGAACTATGTTTCCTGTGCCCACGATGGTTATGGGCCCAGCCCAGAATGACTGATTTGTGGTCATGGTTCTCGTGTCGAGATAAGTACCTTTCATCACGTAAAGGTCCTAGCTGACGAAGAACCAAAGGCCATGTCTTCACCGGGTCGTCCTTCACGTCGATGAACAGTATTAATGTCGTATCCGGCTCTGTGAAAAAGGCACCACGGGCTGGTCCGTGGAGTTAAAGGCCTTTTGTGACACTGGCCGATTCATCGAGTTTAGGATCTGCAACAGTGGGTCGAGATAGAGTAATCGTAGTGTCCTGCTGGAGGAAAGGGATTGTTTGTCATGGCCGACAAGGAGGTCTTCTCCATCTGGACTAAGCCATACATCTGCCTCGACACTTGCGCAGCCTACAGAAAGCGCCGAGAGGAGAGGATGAGGTCTCCAATAATCGTTGTGAGAATGACACATTACCGGAAAGACGAGGCGCGACAATTCTGTGCTCCAGACCGCAGCATTATACGTTGAATTTCCATGTCGGTCAAATCGGTCGTGAAACGTCAAGCGCGACGTCTTATAGGCATCAAGGGTGTCTGGCAATATGACACAAACGATCAAGAAGAAAGGCGCCCTATCTCAAGTATTAGTAGCTATAGGTACTCTTTATCCAAAGTCAGCTTGACTCGATCGAACTTACATGATTATGATTGTGCCACTGACGGCGGTAGACCAAAATTTGACCCATCTTTGCCGGGCTCTTGATATTAGTTGTTTGTGTCGTGGCAGATGGCGTTCAACGTGGCACAAACCACTCCCTGTCTGCGATGGAAGTGGTTTATATTCGCCAAGCTTGGCCATACGTTTAACATAAAAGAAAGTTGAATACTTCATGGTATGCTGTGTTTAATGTGTATCAATAGAGAGACTGTCACAGCGCGAGTGTAAAGGATATGGAGGGCAATTGGTAAGGATATCAATGGTAAAGCACCGGCATAGCCTTTCCCTTCCTGCCCATGGAACTCTTTGAGAGGCACTCTCGGTTCAAGTGATTTACAAGCTAAACTGTCTGTAGTTACTGCGGAGCAAAGACATGACGCAGTTTTCTCAGCAAGCCCAGTAGATCAGATGTCTCGCGACAGCCCTTCTTCTGATGACGCGTCCTCATTTTACGTTGCAAGCACCCCATCCTATATTTGTCGCTGCACTTTTGTGCTGGTCAAGCAGAAATAGAAACCTTAGCGTTACTTGGACTGAAGGCGTACGCGTACGATCAGCCTAGCTTCATGGTGGCTGGTCTAGCGGTCGAGGCCTGAGCACCGCTAGGCTCAATAGAGCGTGATTGAACTTCGTCCAATAGCTTCCGTGACTCAACAAGTTCAAAGTACCATCACAAAACATTTAATTTGTTCTCCCTCTCCTGCAACCGCACTAAGATAAATGTCATTAAGCTCAAAGGGATGCTTAGGAAAGCAGGATTCCGCATTATTGAGGCGTTTCACGGAAAGTTCCACTAAGCCTCCCCTTAAACATACACAATCTACCTCCTACTTGGTTCACGTTGCGTCGTAATGCCTAACATGCCGCAAGGTTGTCGGTTAGCCACCAACACGTAGTACACACATGGGGAAACCTTTGGAGCGGTAGTAAATGTCCTCATTTCACCATCACGCCAGAGGATCCCATCAGGTGCGCAAAATAGGGATGAAAGGGTGAGGTCACATATGGGTGCACATAAATTGAGCAATGATGTTTTCGGCCTTTAATGGCAAAACCGTTTGCATTCTCATTCCCCTCTCACAGTTGAACTGAGAAACTTCCTCTGGATATCGCTGCAGTCAATTAGTAGAAGCCAAAGAGTTGACAAGATGAATCGTGCTAGCATTGTTCTACTTATTGGACTGGCTTTCGAAAGCCTGGGCCGCCCTATCCTTCTTTGTTCAAAGGAGCTCACTATTCGACACCTCCAGCCGGAGGACAGCACTCATTGTTATATCATTTACCCGGAGAAAACAACAAAGTTCTCGGATTTGCCTCTGCAGGGGAACTGGGATGGAGTCCCGACTACAAAACATCCCACGGACAGCATAACGGCATCCCAAGGAGCCCAAGGTTCAAGATTAAACCCCTTTACTTCGGTGATCAGGCACGAGAATATGACAACTACGGCAAAGACCTCTTGGGCCCTGCCCGTTAATATTCCATCTCTGTCTCCGATTTTATACTACTCAGCTCAATTGGCAGTTGATCCCATCTTCATGACCCTTATCTTGATCTCTTTCGCACTTTTTCTAGCTGCACTTTTCCTCCCAGAACGGTAAATACTCTTAAGGCAAAGGATTGTTTGGTAGATATCTAACTTTGAATCTAGAACCGGAGACGGAACTAGCTTGGTAGCGTCCCGACGCCTTGCTTTGCGCGTTGGGAAAGGTGGCTTTTAGTAGAAATCTATACAGCCTGAGACGAATGTCTACAAGCTCTCATGGCCTAATAATGAATCAACATGTTTCATATAAACAGTCCTTGTGAATGGTGATGCTTACAGGTATTAGCAGGCCTTAAATGTACGTACCGACTCCACGTTAGGTTGGATGAAATGAATGATTTTGAGGTATCTCTTGAAATATATGATTTGTCGCTTGGTGCAACCGCCCCTTTCGGGCTGTCATCGGTATACGCGGCAGCTGAGCAGGGTGCCTCGTACAAAGAAGAATTGTTAGTGCCCCATTCGCCCTTGTTTGTTAAATTTAGCGCCTTTGTGTCCTGTGAAAGCCCATGCTCTCTCCAGAATATACAGTTCATACCAAGCATTTATGCCAAGACGGGCTCAATGGTACAAACATGCATTAGCTGCGGCATATTTTCCGCCGCTATACACCGGGGGTGGGTTGAGAGGCACCGATGGATTGTTTCACCAAACAAATAATAGCCGTTATAACAATTTGAGGAAAGTTAAATTTTTTATTAACAAGTAATAGAAACCCCTAGTCTGCGTCATAAGGCCTGCAGCTTGTAGAATACCCATTATTTAATATTTAATATTTCTAATAACCCTACCCTTCCAGGTAGAATTTAGGTATGTTCTCTAGATGAAGAGAGCTACTGTAGAAGGGCGAGTGGGGAAAGAGGGGTTCAATTGCCCAGGATCTAATGTGACGACCTAATTACATTCCATACCATCCTGCTTATAAGCTAACTAAATGAGGCTAAGCAACATCAGAAAGGGGGCCCAGTTTATCCATGCACCAACTCCCATTCGCTAATCCTAACAACAACATGGCCCACCACGTATTGATTGCCATGCATCACACAGACATAATAAATCTGTAGGGCGTAAAAAGGCTACTCAAACACCCAAGTCGTCGTAATCATAGGTGGCGAAGCTTAGGAAGCGTTCTCACCGCAGGAGCAAAGGTCCCGACCTCCAACGACGCTATTCCTTTGTTTGGAACTAGCCAATATTTAGACAACAGCCACATAGAGACAAAATCATGACGCGTATGAGAACGATAAACAGCCAGCTAGAGGACAAGAGCGTTCTTCTACAGGGGAGCATCGAACATTCGTATCTTTCTTTCTTAGTATACTTTTTTCCTCAAGGCTAGTAGCCATATTGGTAAGTTAACTCCCTACTTCTTACATTAAGTAAGGGGAATTGCTATACGGGCATGACATTTTGGCTACACGGGCATGACTCTTACACGGGCATGACTTTTGTAACATCTGATTGGAGAGGACCCTCTTTTGTTAGCACATCTCCGTTCTGCCGACAGCTCTAATTTGTACCTTGAGTTTTCATCCATTACTGACTGACGCGACGCTCTCCATCAGATAATTGGCTTTCCATTACTAGTTTCCCAGCCTTTGACGACAAAAACCTTCATTATGTCCCAATCCGAGCCTCCTTACAGCTCAGAGAGCAATTCAAGACTCCGAACCCGAAGGCCTAGCCCGAGCAATCAATCATGTCCTCGAAAACGACAGCGACAGATCCGACCGGCCAGGTTCGGCCCACCGCTACTTCCGGATAGACCACAGTCAGCTACCAGCACCGCGACAAGTATCGACGCAACCAAGCATCCGGAGGCGAAGGAGTCAGTGGGAGCTAGTTGACAGCGATGAAAATATACTTCCTTCTATAGTAGTCAGAGAGTAGAGCGTTAGACGTGTTTCCTGAGCAATAAACAGAGCAAGAATTTTCCATTCAAAACGAGACCTCTTGAGACACCCTACTATGCCAAGATCTTGAGCACTGGGAGAGCTTGAGGTAAGAATAAGGTCATGTTAAGAGAGCTGGTCACACTGAGTTCGTCAGGAAGTATTTATGGGTCCGCGAAGAACTGACCAATTGAATGTTATTTAAAGTCATGCCGCTGTAAGGTCATGCCTCTGTATCAAAACCGTCATGCCGCTCTATCAATTCCCTTAAAAATATATGCCAGATCCATGGTCTATGATATCCTAGAACCCAAACTTAACCTAAGTCCCAAAAAAGGTAGTTACCCAATGCCCCATATCATACATCAAACAACCATTTAGTCACCTTTGAGTTTATACCCCCAAAGCCGTGTTCGTTCCAAACTCCACCAGTGAGCCACTTGGTCGGCTTCACGAACCCAGTCAGCGGCTTCTAGACCGTATTTGCGCTTTACAGCCTTAATCATAGGCTTGATGGACCATTGGTTCAAAGGATCCATCTCCCGCGGATTTTTCCCAATGTCGGTGAACGTATATTCGAGATCTTTCTTCAAGGGGATAACCAGTCTCCAAGGTGCGTCCGCCGATGTGACAGCGATCATACCACCTCCAGGGTTAATAAGCCCAAAGTTCCAGGCACGGCGGCCATTTAGCGACTTATGGTATGGTCGGATCAGGGATTGGCCCTCAAAATCGTTGACGAGGTCGGACGCAACCGCAGTGTCGTGGGCATTAAGGGATCCAGTATTGATAAGGAGGTCGAGGATAGTCGGGAGAATAGAGATCGAGGTTACGTTGGCCTCATACTGAACGCGAGGAATGTTTGGATGGTGGAAGGAGATAGGAACCCGGAAGTTGCTAATGTGGCGGTTCTCGTATGTGCCCGTCTTGGGAGAATCTTCCCTGAAGGCTTGTCCGTGGTCGCCGACGAAGACAACAAGAGTTTCGTCAGCGATACCGGTATCGTCAAACATCTGCATAAGCTCGCCTAGCCACGCATCTGTAAATCGGACGGTATTGAGGTACTTGTTAAAGTCTTGGTGTCGCTTTCCCACCTTACCCATATACTTCTCGGTTTCAAACCACTTAGGCATACCCCAAGGGTGATGAGTTGTGCTGGTGAAGTGCGATATGAAGAGCCGTTGGTTGTTGGCGAGGCCGTCGGTAATATACTTCTCGATGTGTTCCTTCAAGTCGGTTTCGGGATACCCAAAGTAGTTGATCTTTTCCATTTCGGGTTTGTCGTGGGCCTCCTTGTCGAGGTTTCCCTTTGTAAAGATGTACTTGAATCCGATCTTGGCATCAAAGATGTCCTGCCTATCGTATGTATCCGTAACGGCCTGGAAGAATGCGGGGTACCACTGGTACTCGTGGAACTCGTCTTGTGGCTTCCTGAATCCATCAGACCAAACCTTGGCATCTTTCGTATTGTTGCTTCCCTTCAGTGTATTGAACAACTCGAGGACCTGAGGGATGCAAGGCTGATAGCTCTCGACTACAGCTTCCTCGAACATGTTGACGGCCATGGGCCAAGCGCCGCAGTGAGTCGTGGCAAGACTCTTTGTCGAAACACTGCTACTCGTAAGGCCTCCGATTACGTTAATACCACCGAACCCGGGCTTCGTCTTGTCGTTCCACTCCGGCTTCGTAGGCCGGTCGTAGGTAGAGCCATTTTCGCTCTTGTAATTACCAGGCTTGCCTGTAATCTTCTCCGCGTTTGGTGTCATGCGTGATACTCGGGCGTTGACTTCGTCTCTGAGCGACTTCTCGTGAGAGTCCATGATGAATCGATGAATGTCGGTGTCTTGTTGGATCGGGAAGAGTTCTTCACGCATACTCTCCATGAGAATGAGGACGATGTGCCTAATCTTGACAGAGTTGTTTGAAAGTGCCTCTTTCACTGGTGCCAAGATGCTCTGATTAAGGTTACTTATCCGCATTGGATCGTTGACGGGGTTATAGAAGCCCCGATCCCGCAGTGTGTTCGGGCACGCGTCATCGGTACCAACGTCCTTGTCATTGTTCTGGTATCTGTTTTTATCCCATTTGAGAAAACCGGCCGGGATGGGCTCGGGCAGCCACTTGGGAGGATTCTCCCTATACTGCTTGACAAACTTATTGTTGTCGGTGCCGGGAGCCCAGCCCTTGAAATCGCCGCTGGGATCCAACCACTTGGACTTGTCGATAAGTTCCTTAAGCGGCCACTCATTGTTGGACGCACAGGATCCAAGCGTTGGCCTGAACGAGTCGAGAATGCGGGAGGGCAGACTTGTTGCCATGTGGTTGAAAGGCTTGTCGGGGCGGATTATGGCCGTGATTCCAACAAAGACCAAAACGGTAGAGGTCAAGACCCAAGAAGGAATAAAACACCACCTCCGCTGCCATGAAGGGCTGTCTCTAGAATGCTTCTCCTCCCCGCCGCCGCTAGAGGTGGATGATTTACGGTTATCGTTAGAAGCTGAATCCCCGGTGGAGGGGCGCTCCATCAAGGCCTCGACATCTTCGGGGTCATGCTGAACATGTTTTTGCGGACGAATCTTTGCTCCAAGATACCTGGAGACTCTTGGTATGTTAGGAGACGATGGAATGACAAAGAGAGAAGTGGGCGACATACCTGAAGCGATGCGCTTGCCGAGTCCGGATACCAAGTTCCCAACGAGGCTGTAGAGCATGGTTTGGGTGAACCAGGAAACGATGATAATAATTAATGCGGCCACCAAAACGCCGCTGCTCTCGCTAACTAACACACTAAGGCCTTCGTCGTTGACGAAGTCCCCTGCGTCGCTCCATTCAATCTCGCCGCCTGTCCTGTAATAGAACCCAAGCTCCGACGATGCACCGCCGAAAGTAATTAAGCTATGGCCCAAGTCAGTGTTGCGAACCATTGAAGAAACACGGAAGAAGAGACTTACATTAAAATAGATCCCAAAAGGTAGCCGACAAAAGAAGGGATTGTCCGCCCTCGTCGTAACAAGAGGCGTACTAAACAGACTAGGAAGACATCTTGTAGGAAGAAGGTCGGTAGGTAGACAATAAAGTCAATGACGGTGATGGAGTGAAGGTGAATGTATAGATGGAGTAGCTTTGTGAAGAAGAGCGATACGGAAAAGAAGGCGAAAAGAAAAGAGACGGAAGAAGGCATATTGGGCCTGCTTCATATCGTTAACGATATGGGAGAAGCATGATGGAGGAGTAAGGTGAATAGCCGGCTGGGCAAAAGTCAGGACGGCGCGTGTTCCTAAAGGTTGCTTATTTCCGGCTGCTGCCGCTGGCTTGTGGCGGAGCCATTGCGCTGACCCGCTTTTGTCCATGTTCCAGACCTCGTTGCCTACAGTGCTATACGGGCCGTGCTGCCGTCTCCGACTAATAAATGCAGTCTACTGGACCACCAACCTCTCTTAAGTTAATAGTAATAGCTATATGGATGACGAACGCAGGAAGCAGGCCGCGTCATGGGCTTGCGTAATGAAAGTGCAAACGGAAAACTTTGGTGTACGGTTGGCGAAACCTTGGCGGCGTCATTAAGTTGCCAACCAGAACACTTCCTTAGGGGCCTGGTGTGGTTTAAGCCAATAGTGCTTGTACTTAGCAAGGAGGCCGAGACCATGGATCCCATCGAGTGCCAACTGACGCCAGGTACATGGAGATGTATGGCTGCAGCCAATCAGCGCGCTGTTCAGAAAATTTTGACCCAATCAGAAATCGTACCCTATCGGTACTTCTATTTACTAAATAATTTGCGTGTGATAGTAGTACCAGCAATTTTCCGAGTTACATAGAGAGACATTGGCACTCATAGCAACCTGATCTTGAGTACCTCCTTTTGCCTCTGTTTCCGGACACCTATCCTAATGCTTCTCTCACCCACGGAAGGCTGCTACAAGCTACGCAAGCGTAGTTAAAACCGCGCTTCCTTCGACTATGCTCCTGCCATGGAATCCTACTATTCCTTTAATCTGAGACTCTTCGTAGCCGGGCAAGTGGCCGTGCTTGTACTGACGACCCGAAACGCTGAATTAATTGGGCAGATAAGTGTCTCCGCCATTGGTATTGGCTCTCGAAGACCTTCCACTCGGGCTCGCCCCAAATTTGAAGTAGAAAACTATTGACGAGTATCACTTTGAGCAGGAAGTTCCAGGCTATTGACTGCCATCCTCCTCTCCTTATGGGCCGTGAGTATTGGTTATACGATCGCAGCTGGTCTCCTGTGTCAATGCCGTTCATATGGTGGTTATATTCGTCGATCCCCAACGGCACACCGAGATCCTTTCGCACCTCGGACCCAAACACCTCCCGCGCAGCTCGGTTGGCGGCAGAGGAGCCGGCAGGCCGTCGGCGACTCCGTATGACTTGGTGTCCTTCACGAAAGACAGTGGTAAGAAAAAGAACAAGAGCGTTATCCTTCCAGCTAAACCGATGCACCTACGTTGTCGTAATAAACTATCAGCAGCGATCGTATGCCGATAAAACCCACGGCTACTACGTACCTTTCCATCCTTTGTCGGAATGCAGTGAATTTGGCCCCAGGGGATTCCCTTTCCTTCCCTATCCTTCTCAGCAACGAGTAGCTCGTCAACGCCGCTATCCTTGCGGCAGGTTCCGGTCGCTCCTACCTGGCTTGAACGAAGTGCTTTGAAGAGTTTTTCTGACGCAAAAATATTGTCAAGGAATACGTGGTAAACCGCAAGCGGCAATAAAGTTAATAACGTGGTGATGACCCGTTGAGTAGGCGTGAGATGCTCTTCAGCCACCTCTTCGTCACCCTGTCTCGAGCACTGCTGTGGAACAAGTCCGCAAGGCCCTCTACCGTGAACGTGCCACAACCAACGAACGAAGTATCCAGACTGTCCCAGAACCCATATCTTATAACCGGTCGATGCAGGCTTCTGAGGAATCGTTGTTGTCTGTAATGAGCGGCCTGTGAGGCGTACCATAGCCTCGTCCACCGTCAAATCACTGCTGGGCACGTACATAGAGTCTCCAGTCTCTTGTATATGCTTCACCATCGGTCGACCTGCCTGTAGACGCTGGGCATCGGGTCTTCCCGGGTTGAGTCCGGCGGTGACGACGGCCATAGCTTCCCGGAAGAGCAGCCGGTCGATCTAAGCCAGCAGGATTGAAGATGCGTAGACGGCGGAAGAGAAGCAAAAAGCGGTCGCGAGGCATGTGGCGGATAAATAAATAGATGGGATGCTCTTGATCAAACGAGTTTGACCAGCATCGTTTCATATTCGTCTCGTGATATATTCCCATATTAAATGAGAATACCGAGAAAAAGATAGATCTCTTCAGCAGAAGTTGGCCTCTATCGATTCTCCCTGGAGTGTCTTTGTCGAGGTCCCTCTCGGCTGCGCGACACTTCGTTGGTCCATTGAGCCCAGGTCTCAGCCATCTCGTGCGGTAGGTAACGAAATAAGAGGTCGATAGGTGTTGCGGGCAAGTCTCGGATTACGGGATCACGCTTGGTCACTTTGAATGGGATGAACTAACCAGGCTGGCTGCGTTCAACCAAGGGAGGCTCGAGAGGACCAACCGTGGTATTGTCACATCTCTCCGGAGTACATGCAGTCGCGCAAGCAGCGCAGAGATCCCCAGGAGGAATTAACACGGTAATATGAGAGTGTTCTGAGTGTTCTGAGTCGCTAGAACCCATCGTGACGACGGCGTCCGCCGTAGATGATGGGTTTTGGTGATAGGAGGTAACAAGGTAAGCGCACGAGAGAATGACGTACCATCGTTGTAGCTCTTATGTGGGAAGAAAAGGTGGGTACAAAAAGCGGGACGATTTTACCTGGCGTCAGTTAGCACTCGATGGGATAAAAGTATAAGATGCCGGGACCCGCGACAAGTCGCCAGTCGTCATGCAAGCAAACTTTCCCAATGTCCGAACCTTCTCAAATCAACAGCTCAAGCACGGAAAGATACGATGCAGCAGTATGCCCCAATGTGGTCTCAGCATCATCGTCGTCAGACCGCCAAAGCGATTCGGAAACGGATGTTCCCATGCCATCAATATCTCCCTCCTCAACGACTACTCTCGACGAGAGCATCATCGCAAGAACCTACAATGCCGCGAGCAATATACCGCACATACATTATTCCCAGAAATTGCAGAGAGACCACTCAACGAACAATATCGGTAGCAGGACCACACAGACAGCATTCGATCGCGCATATCAACTCCATGCACGAACCTCTCATATGGGTATCCTCGATCCTGCGTACAAAGTCTTCACCAGTCAGAATGGCTATGGGTCGTTGATCTATAAGATTCAGGCTAGGACGGTCGTCGTTGCGGGCGATCCCTTATGCTCGGAAGAATGTCGAAAACCACTGTTGAATGAGCTTCGCCATTTTCGCTGGGCTCGTGGTCTGACTCTTGCATTCGTCGGAATCAGTGAGGACTTTGTCAAGTATGCTCAACAACAAGGTTGGGCGACAATGCATTTTGGCCATGAAAGAGCCCTCAACCCGCTTACGAACAAGGTCCTTCGAAATGAGGCAAGCAAGCGGATGGTCGCCCAGAACAAGCAGCTGCTTGATCCAAAGCGTGGAGGTATATCGGTACACCTCTACAGCCCGAGCATGAGTAAAGCCGAGTGTGGTCTGGAAGATCAGTTACAGAAGCTTTACGATGACTGGCGGCAGCAGAGGAACCGGAAATATGGAGGCAGGTTACAGGCCTTTGTGACTGTCTACAACCTTTTCTCGCATCCCGAATTGACAATCTTCTTATACACATCTGATTGCAAAAGCCAACTCAACGGATTTGCGACACTGCGGAAACTCGGCACACAGACTGGATATCACATTGATCCTTGCATCGCATCTCAGGATGCTCCTCGAGGTATCACAGATCTTCTTATCGTCACTGCCATGCAGTTACTCAAAAGTTCCGGAATAGGCTACTTGAGCCTAGGTTTTGAGCCACTTCATAAGGTTGAAGGGATAAATGGGCAATCAAAACTCCAGTCCCGGCTCTGGAAGCGTGGCTACAACCACATGATTAAGTCTGTGCCTGTGACAGGCAAAGCAGCATACTTCAAGAAGTTCTATCCGGATGAGTCACTGACATCGAAACTGTTTATATGCCTGCCTAGCAAAGGAATCCCTCTTCGAGAATCAATCGCTCTACTACAATTCGCGAACATGAACATCCGGCAGCTCTTTACTGGAGCAAGTCCAACAGACCAACATGGCGAGAAACAACCATTATAATGCCAATAAACTTGGATGACGCCCTTCATGTATACTACTGTCACTCGGCTTCAAGCGCCTCCCGCTGCATACGCCGGAATCTCCTTCGTTATCCACACCTCCGAATAGATCAAAGCCCCTTTATAGATATGGTGCTATTCGCTGTTTATTCAAGCCATTATTGTAACGTGCATGATAAGCGAGTGGACCAGACAAGCTAGTGGACCAAAAATCTCAACCCTCAAAATAGAAATCGCCATAACACAACAAACGATCTAATCAATTAAAGCTACTCACTATATTCTTCCTCAGACATCGCAACCACTATCTGACATGTTCTTGTGTTATGCCCGGCCTTGCCGCATTCTCCACAACACCTTTCCTTCGCTCGCAGACCTTCCTTAATCACCACTTCTCGACGATACGGCCACCCCTTGCGCATCAACACCCATCTGGTCAATTGCTTGACTGCCTTCCTCTACTGTCATCACCCCTCTCTTTTGTAGACGGGTCCTTTTCGTTCTCCGCCGCCGGCTTAGCATCTCATTCGCTTGTCGAAGGCGTTGGGCCACAGCTCTCAATAAGCCATTCTCATACATTATTGCCTTTGTTCCCTTAGAACGAGACTTCAATGCTTCTAGAAATGACTCTGGAGAGCTACTTTGATGCCTTTTGATTCGTCTTTCAAGGTATTCTGACTGAGACCCGGCCTCAAATACGGTCTTTGTCGTCTTTGCAACCCAAGGGGTAGAGTGGCTAGCCTCCTCCTCAACCGGCGTTGGAGTCCGTAGCTGCACATCAAGCTTTGACACAACACTTTCTAGGTTAAGAGGCACAATCCTGGCCCCTCGAAAAGCTGTCTTAATATTCGTTTCTGTCATAGTGGTCTGAAATGCGGCCTGAAAGGCCGGAAAGAACTCGGTCTTCGAAACGTGGGTTATGGAGCATCTGATCAGATGCTCTATTTCCCGACCATAAGCCTGCTTAAGCGGCCCGAAGCACCCGACATCAAGAGGCTGAAGTAGATTAGACGAATGAGGTGGTATACAAAGTGTGATAATCTTCTTTCTCTTGCAATACTCCTCGAAGTCGACGGAGTGGTGACTTTCGTGCCCATCAAGGATCAGAAGACGATAGCGATTATTTGATCGCTTGGTTGTGCACCGATCGAAGTGCTTTAGCCACTAAAGACCCATCTCGGTATCGGTCCAGCCATTTTGAGACGTTGCAATAGCCCACTCACCTGGGAGGTTGCTTTCTCGGACCTATCACCTCCTGCGCGGCCGAGCACCAGACACCGGCATGCTACAAAACGATGCCATACTGGGAGGTCATGAGTGTTTCGCGGCAGAGCGATAGAAAGCAACCTAAATCAGGCTGGTGTTTTGAAATTAAAGGGATTAGGCTCGGTTCAGCTGGATATTTATCGGTGACTGAAGATAATAATGATAATGGTGTTTCCAAAGTCAGCAAAATCCATATGGTTGCAATCAATCGATATAGGGGACACGTCTCACGTGCGTCGGCGCATTAGATTCGTTCAAACAGCTTAAACTCAATTTAATCGATGGGTAACATAGACTTCAGTTGCCATGCCCAAGCTATCAAGATTCGTATAAGGGAATGATGCAAGGAAGTCAGCCAATCAAAGAGCCAGAATCCCACTTTGGCCTGAAATTTGATCAGAGTGTCAGCACTGAGTCGTTCAAGCGAAAGCCAACAGCGGGGAATCATAGGGGTCATGAGCCAATGGCAACGTATACAAACCACTTTCAATGAAAGTGGGAGAGACGATAGGGATGAAGATCAAAATCAAGTCCTAAGCTCAGATAGCAGGACTTTATAGGACTCGAGCCCTAGAAAGGGCCAATTGGAGCTATAAGGTCTTAAAGGTCCTTCGATTGCCAAATAACAATAATAATAAGAATAACCTTTTGTCATGTGCACTCAGCATCCCTGAGCGATCCAACAACACCGCCGGGGTGTGATAAATTTCATTCATTCCTTCGTAGCGTCAGAGGGCCCCGTCCGCGCTCCCCTGTAGGGAGGCAATACGTATATTGCAGTGGGTTCTATATACAGAGGGAAAGTGGGAGGGAAGAACTCCCCTGTAAGCCCTCCGAGGCCGGGAAGCCTATTATACAATGTGGTCGTGACGTGAGGTAACGCCAATACGACTGTCGCCTTTTATTGTTTTGCCTCTATAATCTCAGCCGAGACTTCAGCCTAGATAAACTATCCCGGGTCACGAAAGCGCAGCTATAGCGATACCCAACAGCAGTGGTGCTAAGGAAACAGGGACAGTCTTCGTCAGAGAACCGCTGTTTTTGCTTCCACTAGCGGAACCAGTTTGACTCGGCGCGGCATTGGATGGGCTAATCGATGAAGAAGCATCATTAACCCCAACAGCCGGAACGCGCCCCTTGGTGGCTTGGTAATTATTGTCATAGGGATAAACATTAGTGTAGTTGTATGACCCCCCAGACCTGCCCCACACTGACTTGACAGATCCCAAGACGCCTCTGCCGGAGGCGCACTTGGCTTCCGTGTCGGGTCTCGGCCACCATCCGGGCAGTTCTTGTACATCGTTTAGCGGCCCGGGGTAGGACACATTCCACGACAGGCCCTGGTACGAAATGTCGGTGTTCTTGTAGCCCACTTTGTTAGCCAGGACAGAGAACACATTAGCATCGCAGTCCCAGCGGCCGAGGGAGGGGAGATCCCAGTTCACCGACACGGTAGACAGCATGGAATAGTGGTTGTAGTACATACTGTCTGTGGTGCCGTGTAGGGACGGGTGAACGGCGCCTCCGAGGAGAACCGTGAACACCTTATTAGGAATGTCGTCCATTTTAGCCTCATCGAAGGTGACCACTATGAGGGTCCCGTTCATAAAGTACTCATCGTCCATAAGGGGACCAAGCCATTCGTGGAGCCATCTTCCTGCAAAGGCAAGCCCAGTGTCGTGCCCATCATCGCGGATATTTGGTGTGAAAAAGGCCCATTGAGGGAGGTTTTTACCCGCCAAATCTTGTTCAAAGTCGGTAAAATTCTTGATCCGAGCCATACGGGTTGCATTGCTTGAGATAATATCGTAAGAGGACAGTGGATTGTGCTTGCTCACATAGCCATCTCCATTAGCTCCTTGGTCGTCGCTTTGCGAAAAGTTCTCCTGATACTCAGTCCAGGAGATCTGTTTAGTATCGAGGAGTTCAATGACGGTAGAGACGTTAGCCGGGATGCTATGGTATCGGTCGTTCTGTAAACCAAATGTGTCGCCTCCCACGGCGGCGACATAGTTGGGTTGCGATGGATGGCTGACTGCAAGAAGTGTTAATTACAGCGCGGTCACTTTGAGAGCTGAGTATCTGACCTGCGTAGTAATTCTCGAGTAGAATACCCTGCCCGGCGAGCCAGCGCATGTCCTTATTGCCAGCTGCTGTCTGTCACTGATTTAAGAGCCTGTCTTATATCCCTTTTGCAACCTACCATTCAACAAGCTAGACCTGGCACATACCTCGAAATTGACATTCTCCAGCCATATCTGAAACATACGACTGAATCCCACCCCTGGTACACCCGACTCTTCAATTGCCCGTGGAACGGTTGCTTGAATTTCCCTGATGGTTTCCACACTTGGCTTTTGGAAGATCGAAGTAGTCGATTTGCCGACGACGGCTATGTCTCTGCGTATCGCTAGCATGAGAATCCTGAGAATTAGAATGTTTAGGAAACTCTTCATATTTTGTGATCAATATCCGTTAAAGAATAATTAAGGATCGTATAAAAGGCTTCCTAATCGGACGGCTCTGGAATTTACCAGCGCTGCTGACTCGGATTAGTCTGTCTGCGTCAAATGACGTAATGTCATTTGTCCTTCAGTGAATGACGAGCTCTTGTTCCTTGGTCTCGTCATAGACCGGGATTTGATCACATCTATCGCCTCAACCGCGGCCAGTCTTTCACGGTAACCCAGAATAAAGTTCGGGGAGCGTGGCGAATGCCTACGTACGTCAGAGTCTGATACCGGAACGTAGTGACATGCCAGCCCGCCATCTCTTCGCCCGCCCTTTGATGCAATTCCACTTGCCACCTCCGCATAACAGAGACAGATTGTCGCACCGAGGGTGCTGAAAGAATCAAAGGTTAGGTAAACGATAATGAGCAGCAGTGGTCTGTTGACTAACTGATATCTAAAGTGCGGGATACTCTAGCCCACAAATTTACTTAAAGCACACAGCTCGATTACTAAGTGCTGTTGTGTCCTGGGGCTCGTGGAGATCATGCCTGGTCTACACCACAGATCGTCACTGTGTGAATGAGGGGAAATAAGGTAACTGGCGTTAGCGAAGATACTCCGATGGTCCCTGTTCTACGCCTTGAACGCTTTTATGCAATGTACCACTTGATTTTAAGCATTGATAATCTCCGTCATCTCTCGTCTCCTCTTGCCCACGTCCCCTCCTTTGAAGCTTTCCCGGCTAGGTAGTAAGCCGGGGTTCTTAACCATAAGCCATGAGAGCTTCTAAATCGCCGCCAATGCTGGAGAACTCGACCCCTTGGGCCTCGACAAAATCTGACGTGATGACCGTGCGGTGGCTTCATGAGTATTTGAGCGATGGGATTGAACCAGTGTGTCCAACAACCAAGTCAAGTAACTTGGTTGGTTGAGGTGGGGGGCCACATCATCAGCATCAGTGTTTATTGCCCCCCAGGAGAACGGATCTCATAGGCCAGATGGTTACATATGGGGCCCCACCTCAACCAACCAAGTTACTTGACTTGGTTGTTGGACACCCTGGATTGAACGGCTGGACGTCACCTCTTGACCCAATGATATGGATGGCAATGTTAAGACGCGGGCCGCAGGTTGGCTTCTCGATGTCTGGCAGAAACGCGATGCTGTTCGTCCTTCACGGCTTCGAAGGCTCCAAATGTTCGACGCCTGGCAGCTCGCCAGCAAAGGACCCCTGGAATCGGTCGCACCATGTCGCCAGCGCCTGCGGGTTGTCATGGAACTG